ATATATATATATATGTATGTATGTGTGTGTGTTAAATAATGTTTAATGTTAACTACTTTCAAAATGACAAATCTCGTGACCCTATTCATAGATACGTGGGGTATATGAAACTTATTTTGTTAGAAAAGTAGTTTTAATGACAGTTAACATCTCCTTTATTATTATTTTTTTACGAGAATGCTTTTTATTTCATATTTTTGCCTACAAACATTAAAAAATGCTGTTCTATCTTGACAAATTAAGTGAATATATGGATCATTCAGTGGCTAGAAGGCCTGGGCCTGGGCCTGGGCCTGGGCGCTTTTAAAGTATTTATGGCTATGGTTGTGTCCGGTGACCGTTAGCAGCAAATAATATACAACTTGCTAATTTTGACAATTTGCAAATCCGAAATAGGAATACAATTTGAAACATTTGTTTTGGTCAATTTATTTAGTCATGCTTCTTAAATGAGATAACTGACTTTGATCAACCTTTATGCAACATTCGCTGAAATACACTCCACATGAGACTGGGTTTGAAGTCTCTAGACTTTGATGTAGTCTTTTAACGAGTATTGATACACGTACGATATATTTGTAAATAATTTTTATTTTTCTCAATCACATAGCTCAGTATATTACTTAATTATAAATAAAGATAAATACAAAAGATAATATTGTATAAATTGTTGTACAAATTATATTGGTTGTATATATAAGAATTTGAGATGGACTTGATTTCTTGGCACAAAACCAAAGACTTCTCACAAAAGTATTATTACCATATTTTGGTGTAGTAATATGATAGCTTTATTTTGGGCTAAAATATGGTTTAGTAATTTACTTTATAAATATATAATATGTTTGAGTGATATTGATTTTAATCAATCTTGTATGATTTGTATTGATTCACCATTTTGACTTGAGATAACATATTATTATGAGTGAAAATAGGTTGGACAATCTATTAGGAGCTTATGATTTGGTCTGTTTATTAAAAAAGATAGGTTTAAGTTTTTTAGAATGTATTTTTCCGATAAACCATCTTATTTAAAGCTTTGCAAAAAAATTTAAACTTGATCTATTCATTATGAATATTTAATTTAATCGTTGAATTGTTGAAATTTTATGCTGAACTATTAATTTGGATAACTCTATCAATAATTACTTTTAGAGTTGTTTTTGCTAGGGATAGCTTTGATGTTGATATGCTTAGGCGAGATCTCCTTTCTTTCTAATTCTCTTATTTGATGATATAATGCCTTCTCTTCTTCTTCAATCGGGAAGAGTACTTGTAAAAAGAATTTCGATGCTTAAGTCAGTAAATAATTCTCTTGATATCTCTTAATATTTATATTATAATTAGTATCTCTCTTGAGATTGAACTATTTTATTTGTGAATAAGATATCTGTTGCAATTTATGCGTTGTAAATGTATAACTGAATTTATCTTTTTTGATTTTGGGCCTTTAATCAATATAGTATCACTTTAGCTAATGTGGTATGCCAACATCGTTGGTACCAAACATGTTATTTAAATGTCATCTCAATGTTTCGTGCCCTAAATTGAGTTTACTAACTCAACAGCCAGATTGGTGCAAGAGTTAATAAATTTCTTTTCGTTATATTAATATATAATATATAATATTTTTTTAACTATATTATAATAATATTATATTAAATCCATTAATAATTTTTTATATGACATGTAATTAAATATTATTAATTTTTTCTCATCAGCTGAAAATCATATAAATGTCTGTCATGTAATAATTAATTGAAATCATAACATTTGATAGTATTGAATTTCTTAATAATTTCTCATATTTTAAGTTGTATGATACATGTCACTTAAACAAATTTTTAAGTTAAAGTAGACTTTTAAATATATAGGACATATCAGTTGTTGAAATAAGGCCAACCTGCTTATCGACCTTAATCAACCTTAGACGAGTTAGATTGATACTTTAAACATATTGGCTTGAGATGACCTATTAAACATATTGTCACTTAATTCTATTCCTGAACCAAATTTAATACTTCCATATGATAACCAAAACTACACGCGCAAGAACACAAAAAGAGAAACAACGAAACTTATTACACTTTATTGATCAATGAAACAAAGGGACTACATACAGTAAAATGAATTGATAAGAATATTTAACACTTGTTTAAATGAAAATGAATTAATTCATGAAATTTGTAAATTGCAAAACACATTGGCAGTTATAGGTCTACGTACGAACTTAGTTGATAGAACTGCAAATCTTTCTTATGATTCCAGCAGATCCGGTTAATGGTTCAATATCTCCCATTTTTATCATAGCAGCTGCAAAGTCTGACTTAAAAGTTGTAGGATTTTTGCTATATTCAGACACAATAGAATCTGTAGATCCTCCATTAAATAATACTTGATCTGTTTGAAGAAGACCTTTCTTCTGAATCAAATTCTTGAAATAATTGTTGTCAAATGAATTGGGCGTAACCAAGTCTAGTGCTGCCAACTTCTTATCATTATCATTATTTCTAAGTGATGGACAACCACGTTGACGAGTACTAGCAAATCCTGCATCAATGTTACTTGCATTGTTGTATATCCTGTCACGAAACGTGAAACATTGAGCTTGTCCAATTGTGTGGGCACCTGTATACATTAAGACAATATATATTGTTTTAATAATTATCTCACACTTAAAAATTATATATATAAAGTATTACATGACTAAATGTTTTCAATCTAGTGAGTTTTGAGGATGTACATAAACAATAAGCAATATGATAAATTAATTACCAGATAGAGTAACCATATCTCTAGCGGTGAGTCCCTTTTTATCGAATCTAGATATAAGAGTGTCAAGATCGTCTGTAAAAAGTGGAAGGTCACTAGTGGCCAAACTTTTGCTTGCAGTGGTAGAATCTCTTCGTCCAAGTTTCACTGTCCATGATGGACCACCCACCTGATCAAGAATAAAACAAATGCACAAGTCATGATACTAATACACTATATATATGTTTTTGCATGTTGATAAGTTAAAACTATATATTAAACATATATAGCTATGGTTTATTTGGATAAATATTTAACTACATCTAAGAAAGAAAACTAAAAAGGAAAAATGATGTAAGTTTCTTTATGAAACTAAAGGTAGTTTATGCATACAAGTTTAAAACAAGTTTTTGAAAAAATTAATATGAGAGAACTTTTAAAAATTAACTTATGTATTAGGGCATCTTTTATAATTTTTTCTTCTTATTTTTATCTCTTATAAGTATTTTGAGAGGAATTTATCCAAACAAACTCCTAAATTGTTACTTGATAAACTTACAGCAAATGATGCATCTCGTGCTGCTATTGCTACAATGTCAGCACATGACACAACTCCGGGGCATACTTTCTCCACTTGAGATTTTGCTTGATCGATGACGTTAAATCCTCTTACTGAGTTAACATTTTGAAGTGCAGTTTTTTCGCTCTCAATAGAGGTGCTATCATCAAGCAAAATTGATGCATCACAACCCTACAATGCATACGAGTAGACCAGTTATTGTTTATGATTCTACTACAAGATATGGTCCAAATTAAGATTAAGTGCATGCAATTATAATAAATAAAGAATTAATCCACCTGCACTTAATTACCTGGACAAAACAATCGTGAAAATGAAGACGAATGAGAGATGCAGCCATGCGGCGTTCCTTAGAAACTGCACTACGAATCACAGTTCTGATGGTGCTAAGTGCATCAGGGCATGTATTGTCATAAAATGTAGAAGACAATTGTGCATCACATATTGCACCTAATAACAACAATGTGACAATAAAACTTATGATACTTGAAGTACAATGCGCCATGATATATATTATGTTAATGATATATTACACGAGAAAAGTAAAGAATTATATTGTAATTAACAAGAAAGAGAATGATTGAATGAAGATATGAAGATGATGGAAATGGAAATAGAGGGTGATGAATTTATAGGACATTAGGGTGTTCGAAAAATTATCAATTATCAAAGTCAAAGGTGCCTGCTAAAGCTGGCTTGGTCACTATTATCTGCTACAGCTAGCGTGTTTTTGCCGTGAGTTGTTGATGGCGCGGTTGAAGTTGACCATGTAGTATAGCTAGCCATTGCATAAACCACTATGGTTTAGAATTTTGATTAGTTCAATTCCTTTGTGGGGTTTTACTTTTTATTTTGTTTGGATTGTATTGTATGCATTTATTGAACATGTACTGTACAAAAGTTGCTGACATTTCTTTCCTTTTCTTTCTGTAAACGTGTGAATCGGGTACATGTGGCTTGTTGCTCTACTTCACCATATGCTTTCAATTTCCATGCATTGCATTCTGTTATTATTATTATTATTATTATTATCATCATTAGAGAAAAGATTCGTTGAAAGAGACTTGTCGGCTCCTCCATTGTCTTTATGTTCTTGATATTATAATTTAACAAATTTGACCAAAACAAATTTGTAAAATTGTCTTTTAAAACTGGTCGATCGTTTTTGTGCATGAAGACAGTGTCCCACGTGATAACCGACAAGTTTGATTAGTCCATTCACTGATATGGGCGAGGAACGGTATGGATAAGCAAAATTTCTCCTTGTAACAAAAAAAATCAGTTAAAGAAAAATAAAATTTCCTCCCACTAGTTGTAGATACTACTCTTTTGTGTGTGGGTGAGAATTTGGATTGGGTTTGTGGGAACTAGGAAGGTGGGTGACGTGAGTTTTTGGGTGGAAACAGGAATTTGAGATGAATTTTTTTGGGAAGGTTTTTAGTTGATTGGAAGGAGTATTGGGAGAAAATTTTTTTATTTTTAATTTTCATGAAGAATAAGATAGGAAAAATTTAATTTGAAAGGGTTCTAGAAAATTTGTGAAAAAAATTAACGAATTTATAAAAAGATTAAAAGAATTAATTTTTTTATTAGTAATTATTTGATAGATTATAAATAAATATAAATATTTTGATTATATTAATTTTATTTATAATATATATAAATAATTAATATTTATAAATACTTAGATTAGATAACATTTTTATATTTAAAAGGTATGTAAATAATTAATATTAATTATACTATTAATTACGATAACCTGTAAATATTTTAATTGTATATTAGATTATTATTTTTTTATAATCATGCAAATGATTATTAGAATTTTTATATATATAATTTTAGCTATTTTTATGCATATTAATATTAACTTGTTTATATTTATTTTTATTTTTATGTTAATTTATTAACAATTGTTCATAAATAAGTTTGAAATATAATTTAATTATTGATTGTTATTAATTATATTATCAATTCATTACGATTAACCTTAGAACTTAAAGTATCACAAGTTTTGTTGTGATTGTGATGCTGGTATTGTTAAACACACTATGTAATGCACTTAGCACCATCAGAATTGTGTTTCATGATTCATGGTGTAGTTTTTAAGGAATCTCGCATGATTTGGCCTTTCATTCGTTTTCATTTTCATGACTGCTTTGTTTGAGTATCATATGTGTGCATTTATTATTATTTTTTATTCATATTGCATCACTTAACTTGATTAATCTTAATTTGGACCATAAGCAATAACTACTCATGTATATGAAATGCAAGGTTGTGATGCATCAATTTTGCTAGATGATAGTCTCTTTATTGGGATTGAAAAGACTGCATCATTAAAGGGATATAACATCATCGATTAAACAAAGGCTCGTGAATCAGATATCCTTCATGTTAGTCTCATAAACTCCACATGAACATACACTCAACTCCGTTTCATAGTAAACCTGTATCATTACTTACGTCCAACTCCTTCAAACTCAACAAACATTGTAACTTGCATTGTAACTCCATCTAAACATTTTCATCAAACATGAAAAATCAAAAGAAATTTCACTTGAAATAACTTTTCTAGTTCTAAATAACTTCCACTTAAATTGAAGGCTCTAAATTTTTCTAGGATAAAAATCCAATGGGAGAAACCATGAAGGATAGCACTTTCAATCAAGTAATCTTATGTTATTTGGTAGATAATGAGGTTCTGGAGAAATTCTTGTGTTACCAATAATGACAATTCTCAATTTTTCATCTTTTCAAATATAGTATTTGTTCAATTAATTTATCCACTTTGAGGGGACCAAGCATTATTCCTTGAATTTTGCTACTTCTCTTTGAATCAATTACAAGGAACATTAATTACATATTCATAATTTAACACAAACTAAAATGTTAAAAGATTATAGTCTTGAAAAACTTTAACATTCTTACCTTATTATCAACTAGTACTTGAAAAAAGTTTTCATGATGCCATAATTTGTTGCGCTCGCTAACTTCATTTCATGCTTCCTCCTTAACAATCTCTCTTCCAATGTCTTGCATTAGGTCATACATCCCTAAGCAATCATAATCGTCGATAGTTAAAAGTGAGTTATCAACTAATGTTATATATACTATCCCTAAAGTTGAAGTCACACACATCTAGTCCTCCTTTTACATATTTCAATTTCAACCCTTTGAAGAAGCATGCAATGTCGAGAAAAATATTCTTCTTATTGAAGGACATGCTATCATAACTTATTCTATGAACTTTTTGGGCATCTTCATGTGAACTCTTTTCATATCTTTCCAATGCATCCTTCTATCCATCCAAATCTTTTCCAACAATATGCATTATAAAAAAAATGCAAATTTTTGACGAAAATTTTTTGACGGATATGGATCCGTCGGAAAATTTATATTTTTTGTCAGAAATTTCCGACGGATTTATATTTCCATCAAAAATTTCTGACAAAAATATCCGTCGAAAATTTTCCGTCAAAAATTTTCGACAGAAAAATAAATCCGTCGAAAATTTTTGACAGAAATTTTTTGACGGAATATTCCATTGAAAATTTCTGACGAATTTATATTTATGCCGGAAATTTCTTATTTTTAATTTTATTTTTAATTCTTATTTTCCATTTGAGATACCACTTTGGAATTTTATTTTCTTGATAATGTTGGATGTTTTTAAATTTTCAGTTTTCAATGAGTTCTTGATAATGAATTATCCACCAGATTTCAATTTTCAGTTTTCAATGAGTTCTTGATAATGAATTATCCACCAGACGTATGCTAAATTCTTGCTTCGATTGTCTTTGATGCTAAACAAAATTAAATTGTTCACACATATATATATATATATATATATATATATATATATATTGTTCTAATAAATCTAAATTGATTACAAGGTCTTTAAGATCTACAATTGATTATAAAGATCATGATATCTATTTTATCTTTCACCTTTCTATTTTATTGACTCGTGTTATAAAAAAAATTATTACTTAAAAGTTGAAATTTCAAACGTTTTCTATATTATATAACTAAGGAACAATCTCAACTAATAGAGCAAGTTAATTAAAGAAAACGGAGAAAAAAAATAGAACAAGTCAATAACACTATCATTTACATATAGAAATTTCACCAAATAGGATAATGGAATAAAACCAGTAGTATAGTATTATATATGAGCAATATTGCAGTATTATTAGCAAGAGAGAAAAAAATGGAGAAGACATGAGCATAGAAGAAAAAGATGAAAAACTCACGTGAAAATTCTTGAAGCACTTAAAAAGTTACTTCAAACAATCCTCCAAAATCTGATGGATTTGGATGAGATTGTTTTATGAATTTGGTATTTATAGATACAACTAAAAAATCCTTCAAAATCCCTCTAATACAACAATCTTTTTAAATTTCTATATTTTTCAATACCAATTAATTGTTTTTAAGTTGTAAAAAGTCTTAAATAAATACCAGTGAATTTTAATGGACTCTTTAAAAAATATTGAAAATTCATATTGAATACCACTTAATTATTTTTAAGTAACATAAAATTATAATTGAATACCAACGGACTTTTTTACTCAAAAAAAGTCTTTTAAAATCCTATGAAATCCTAAACCAATACGCCGCTCTTATTTTGGTGGGTATATTTAAGTAAGAAGACTTTTTGATGTCAAAAGTGAAAATCTCTTTAATAAATCTACAATAAGTGGGTAATAATGTTTGATTAAAAGATTTTTAACATGTAATTGATAAAAAATATTAATAACACTTTATTCATTATCATTATTAATTGTAGTTCAATAAAAATCACAAATTTATTTAACGAGGCGTTAAACTCTACTAAGATTATCATTAAATTCCAACTAATAATAGATATCATTTTAGTAAAAAAGTGTTTGTGGCATTCCTTTTGAATATGATTAAGGCTGAAGTACATGCAAAACATGTGTCATTACTTACGCTAATAATGGCCCTGATACAAGGAATATGATAATAAATTAATATATTTGTAGTAATGATTTATAGCATATCTAGGTGTTAGACTTGAGTTTTGGTAACTAAGCCCTTTATATGTATTATTCTTTTTTATTGTGCCTAAATAACTTATAAGCAACTTTACTAGGTACTTTAGCACTGGTTGTTCTTTATACTCACTTTCCTTGCACAGGTTTTGGCTAAAATGGAATAGGCTTCAACCCAAACTATAATATTAGCCCCATCTTAATATGTTTCTAATTTACATATCAAGGTCAATGACTTTATTCTCTCGCATGAGAATTTTTTACCAAAATATTATTTAAAAAAAAAATTTACAAGATTAACAACTGTGCAGGTTTATTTACCACACTAGAATCATTTATTGTGCATGCTCAGAATTCGGTTCCCGAAGAACCGAACTCTGAGCTTCAAAGTGTAATTTTTTTTGTTTTTTCAACTCAGAATTCGGTTCCCGGGAAACCGAATTCTGAGTTGGTTTTATATATATATATTTTTTTCGTGTTGGTGAGAAATTTGGGCAGATTTTGGAAGTGGAACGGCCCGTTCCGAAATCAGAACGGGCCGTTCCGCTTAAGGCCACAAAGTGAATTTTTTGAAATTGAAACGGGCCAAGAACGGGCCGTTCTAATCTGCCCAAATTTCCCCACAAACACGAAAAAAAATAATATATAAAACCAACTCAGAATTTGGTTCTCGGAGAACCAAATTCTGAGCATACACAGTAAATGGTTATAGTGTGGTAGATAAACCTGCACAGTTGTTAATCTTGTAATTTTTTTTTAAATAATATTTTGGTAAAAAATTCCTCGCATGATATGCTCACTCATTATTTTTTTAATGTTTGTTAATCGCTTCATCCAAATTGTTTCAATTTCAAAGCATTTACTTTTATTGTTTATTTAACTCCGAGTGCATCACATCTTCATTGTAAATGGAAAGAGATTCTCTGTTCTTTCGTTGTTTATAAGCAAGCTTTATTTTTTTGTTAATTGAGTCATCTATGGATTAAAAAAACACAACATGGGTGTACAAGTTATTAGCTCGATACGTTACTCTTTTATATTTCCGTAATTAACAAATATCGCCATTTGTACCTTATTTTATACACGATTTTTAACATAGGGTTATTCCAACATGGATAATACAAGTATCATTTGAGATACCACTTTGGAATTTTATTTTCTTGATAATGTTGGATGTTTTTAAATTTTCAGTTTTCAATGAGTTCTTGATAATGAATTATCCACCAGATTTCAATTTTCAGTTTTCAATGAGTTCTTGATAATGAATTATCCAATATATATAATATAGGTGGTTATAATTATACCGGTATAACTTTTACTAAGTATTATGCCGCTCAATAACTTTATATTAAATGTGAATTTTGTAAATCCAACCGTTAAATTGAAAGTTCATATCACTTTATACGTGTATATCAAATTTTGTTAAAATTGAACAACAACTGGAAGGTAATCAAAGTGTTCATATTTTAGTGTATTTTGAAATGAATATATTACATTAATTTTGTTTTTATAAAAATGAAGTGTTCATCTTGATGAATTTTTTTTTCCGACGCCACTTTTTCCAACGGATTTAAATCCGTCAAAAAAACAAAATTCGTCGAAAATTTACCATTTTCCGTCAGAAATTTCCATAAAAAATTAGTATTTTTCTTGTAGTGATGTGAGCCTAGTACTTTTAAGACCAATGGAAGGCCTTTGCAACAACAAATTGCACAATTGGACAAATCTTCATAATTTGATTCGGGACAAGTTTTTCTGAAGGCATTTTGGTAAAAGAGTTTCAAAGACCCTTGGTTGTTTAGAACTTTCACTTCATATCTCTTTTGACCCCACAAATATCTAGCTAATGTTTATTTCTTGTTATGATGATCCTACTCCTAGGACCACTCCAATCACATCACTTACCAAATTATCCAACTATTTAACGTTATCAACATCATTGAGAACTTTAAGAACTCTTTTTAAACCAAGTCTACATTTTATTGTTCTAGTTCTTTCTTCAATACATTTCAATTGGATTTTGCTTATCTCAACCTCAAGTATCTTTGATAGAAGCTTTTGTTGCAAAGTTCAAGGCCCTTAATTCAATTTGAGGTTTCTCTAATGTTGGAAATAAAACTTGAACTCTCAAACTGCTTGTAAATTGAATCATACAATGCTTCGGTAAGTGTGGTTTTGCCACTTTCGCCTGTTTCATGAATCCCTAACAGACAAGTGTTATTACGAGACTCAAGATCTAAAAGTGACTTCAATTTTTCAACTAGATTCTCTCATCCAATTATATGCTCATTACTAGATAAATCTTTTGGAGACACTTGAATGAAGATCTTGAGAACAATATCATCTATAAACTTGAACTCATCCATCCTGATAAACAGTGTTCTTTAATTAATCATCAAATTGATTTTGTCAAATTATATAAACACATATGCGACGATAACAATATAAACAAAACAATCATTGCCTTAAATTAATTACAAGTAGCAAATACTTCATAACTTGAAGTCAACGCGCACACACATATTCACTGATTGACTACATTTACTTACCCTTGTTCAGATTTGAAATGTTGTCCTTTCAAGTTGGCTACGTAAGTCAAGGCCGATCTCCATTTGTGCACCTTCTCTGAGTCTTTCCCGTACCTTGTTTCATGCTTATTCATGGCCTCACCATAACTTCCTTTTTGATACCTCACATCTGACTCTGAGGGATACACTCTGTAGAAGATGGGGAAAACGAGCTGATTTTTTAACTTGACATAGTCGTGGATCTTCTCAAGTTCATCAAGGCACTATGATGAGGCTGCATAATTTACAGACAAAACAACAACTGAAATCCTTGATTCTTCAATGGCTTTAAGAAGAGTAGGACCAGTTTGATCTTCAAGCTTCAGTTCCTCGTCCTCCATAAAGGTGATAATTCCCTTCTGACATCACCCCTATAGCTAAGGAAAAAGTCATACGTGCACTTGGTCTCAGACATTGCGCAATGGTTGGCCATAAGTGCATTGTAGTAGCACAATAAACACAGTGTATGTTGCGACTATCTGTGAATGCTGTGTATTTTTTTAAGACGGTCGGGAAAGACTTTGTTATTATTATTTGGTTACGACATATTAATACACCGAGAAAAATATTATTTTATGATGATGAGGTAATTAACCTCTACCTAGGTATTGACCCTTGTAACACACGGGTAAGAATTGTACATAATTTATTTTAGAGATATTAAAATTATATTAAATTATTATATTTAATAAATGTAAAAATAATTGAAATAGCAAATGCATAATAAAAAGGATAATAAGATTGTACAATTTTTATTCTTTAGTTTTCAATTATGTCAATTGGGTCCCTCTAGTTATCAGGTTTACAATCAGGTTTCGCTATCCTAATTTCATCTAATATTTGGAATAAACTGATGTGGCAAACCAAACATAACATGACAGTGAATAATGGTTTAGGTGAGTTACGAGAGACTACCTTCAAAATCCTCATAGATGTTGGAGCCAAAAACGGGTTGACTGACTCCCAATAATTTGCCGAGAACTAGGAGGTAGAGAAGGAGAATAGGAAACAATTAGAAAGAGAATAGAAGATTAACATGTCATGCTCATTGCTATGATTTCATCTTGGCATACCACAAATAGAAACAAAAGAAAATAGCCAAATAACATTCTCACACCAAAAGTTTCGTAATCAAACTGACTAACAAACAATTATTAAGACCATTTGCAATTAACACCGATCCTGATTCTGAATTCAACACACAGTCTTTTTGTTGGACTTGTGAGTTGGATCTGTAGCAACTTATATTTTGGGATCTTAATGGCTTTCTTCTCTCAGCAATTTTTTCATAATAATAATAACAAAATAACAGAGAAAGAGGTAGTAGCAGAACAATTTCCCGAATGCGACCAAAAAAGAGATGAAGGATTTCCCCCAAACTGCCAATTTTACTAAGAGCTTAACCAAAAAATAGAGAAAGCAGACGAAACCGAAGCATTGCCATAAAATTGATAATTTTTCTGAGGTGCCGCCAGCAGTGTGAGACTGAGTGTGAGGTTGAGGAATTTCTGAGCGTTTTTTAGACCTGCGTGACCTACGTGTTAAGCTTGAATCTTCCCCCAAAAGTTCTTTAGCACTTACCACCATTTCCATAAACTTGGCCACAAAATTGACCTCCTTGTCCTCAACGTTCAACCCTTCCTCCTCTCTTGAAGCCCTCAACTCTTTCTGCAAGACTCGCAGCAACATTTGGCTGGTTTCAGCTGACTTATCTGTAGAATACCCCAATTCATCTAGAGATGTCATCATCACACAAAGCACCCTATTAATATCTAGAATATTCGAACTTCGTTTCTTATTTCTTACTTTCTCCTCCTCACTCCGAACCTGATCTTGACCCGGGAACCGGATACCCTGGTTGTACGCATAAACTCCCCATGAACATAGACTCAAGTTTGTTTTGCAACAAATCATTATGGTCTTCCAATCATTACCTACATCCCGCTCCTCCAAACCGAACAAATTTGGTAGGTCGTACAACAACACATGATTCTCATTCACAGAGAACTTACGGTACCCTTTGCGTTCACCATCAATGATCAAGTGCATGTGAACAGATGACAATAGTCGGTTAACATTGGCAACCACTTCCCCGAACACAAACGCTAAAGCAACTGCAGGGAACTTCCCACGAACCTCGAAGACCGGATACCCTCCCTCCTTAACATAGTCAAACCATTCTGGAATCTCTCTTTTTGGATTTGGCATCACCACATGTAATCTCTTCATCTCTTTACGCACCTGTCACACATCCCACAACACAAGACCAAGACGTTAAAGTGATTAAAGAATGTTTGTTCATTATATATATATATATATATATATATATATA